ATATATAATTATATATTGAAAAACAGTAAAAACATTAAAATTAGAATGTAAATTATGTGCAAAAATATATTATTAGTTGGAACTAAGTTGGAAAAATAAATATGAAGGTCAATTAAATTATAAAACATGAGATAAAACTCTCCTTTTTTAATTTAATTGGCATATTTTTAATTGAATTTATTTATTGGTCCATTTATATATTTCTGCTTTTTTTTCTAGTTATGTCAGTGTCGGTCCTCCATACTGCAGAACTTTGACGAGGTAATTCAATGTCTGGATCAGGTGTGTTGGAGCAGGGAAAAACATAAAACCTGTAGGGCTGCGGCCCTCCAGGACCAGGACTGCCCACCCCTGGAGTAGAATATTATAATAATAAAATATACAGAACAGACCAAAAGTTTTCTTTATTTCCATGACTATAAAAATTGTAGATTCACACTGAAGGCATCGAAACTATGAATTAACACATGTGATATTATATATTTAACAAAAAAGTGTGAAACAAATGAAAATACGTTTTATATTCTTGATTCTTCACAGTAGCCACGTTTGCTTTGATTACTGCTTCACACACTCTTGGCATTCTCTTGATGAGCTTCATAGTCATGAAAATAAAGAAAACTCTTTGAATGAGAAGGTGTGTCCAAACTTTTGGTCTGTACTGTACATACGTACATATACATGTGGCCAACGTTGTCCCAACAAAGGGAGGCGGGAGCACATTTACCTGGAACTCGTCCTTCAGGTGAGACGAGTTGGTCTGGGAGTCGATGCGAATCAGCTCATAATAGGCTGCTTTGAACTCGCACACGGGGATGGCTGTTTCTCCACACAGACAAGCCTCCAGGATGGCATCGTGGATGAATATATACTGCTCCTGTGCAGAATTCAACCCACACATATGATGAGATCTGTGCACACTTGCTCTCTGACAAAGATGCTGCAGACGTTAAGAAACACAGAAACATCAGACAAACAGCTGAAATGAAAGCGAGTGTGCAGACGCTGACGGTGGCAGATGGTGGCATGGATGAGATGGAATGATGACTTGGCTTGCTTTACTTTACTTCTTAGTCAGTGTGAACAAAAAAAAAAAGATTTTTGGACTTTTCAAGCAGAATTTCCCTCAACAGGAATAAATATTTTTTATTAAAACAAAAGAACTGTAAAGCCAAAGATAAAACAGAGTGAAAATGTAATGAGGTGACGTCTCCATTAGTAACTACAAACTGAACATCTCAGCCATCTGTACCGTGCTGATGACTCGCTCCCACTCATGTTTACGCTGTCTAATCTGAGAGGATGCAGATGGAGGATGGGTAATGCAGTCACCTCAGTCTGTACCATGTTGATCCTCCTGGAGCGGAGAGCTTTCACACAGTTGTAGATGTCGACCACTCCTTCTCGCTCGGCCATATCCAGCATGATGTCGATGACGATGAAGCAGCCCGTGCGTCCCGCCCCAGCACTGCAGAGATGCAGACGATGGATTTATTCAAGGTTTAGACATGGTTGTTATTTATGATCATTAAGACACCTATGTGAATCATTATATAAGGTTTCTGTGTTTCTACCTGCAGTGGACAACGATCGGTCCAGCGGAGGGTGGATTGGACATCTTGACTCTGCGGATGAAGGACAGGAGTCCGGTGGCGTGATATGGAACTCCGTGATCAGGCCAGCCGGTGAAGTGGAACTGCTTCACCTCCCGCACTTCGTTGAAGCCGCGCTAAGTGTAAACAAACAACATATTTTGTTCATAAATCTACATAAAAGACGTCACATGAAAGAAATAAAACTATTTAATGTCTTTGTTTGGTACAGAGTTCAGTGTAGCAAAAAAAAGGAATAAAACAAAAAAACTTTAGCTGCAAACTAATTTCTTGATCATTTAGCTACAGATATTTACAGGATACACAAATTCTGTATGTATGAAGCTTTTTTACAGGGTTCCTACAGTTTAAGTTAAATTTAAGACTTTTTAATGCCAGGTGAAATCAAATTTCAGACCAACTTCACAATAAACACAAATGACAAAACAAATTAAAACTGTGGCAGAAACTCATGAAAGTATTTTTGGTTGAATTATCCAAATATTGCTAATAGACCAATTGTTTTTATCCATATCTAACTGCTATTTTGTCAAATATGGCAAAAAAACCATTCTTATCAGTCAGTTTTAAACTTAATGTAATTTCTGGAAATCCTCTAACGACCCAACATTTGTAGCTTTATGACCCAGAGTGGGTTCTCAACCCCAGCTTGCTGTAGATAAAACCTTAAAGTGYCTGTGACATCAAWTTTTTGTAAGAAATATGGATGTATTTTTGGAAAGACAACATTAACATATTAGAAAACTAATTTCACATCGCTCTGATGGACAGTTGAGATATTTGCAGGTGAAATAACAGGAAGTGATGTCAAAAGGAAACATCTGAATGGGAATATTTCAAAAATAAATATATTTTATCAATTATTTTAATATTTGATACAAATTACAGTCATCCTTTTTACAATATGTTCACATTTTTAAGACTTCTGAAGATTGATTTAAGACCTTTTAAGGCTAATTAAGGCCTTATTTTTGGATTGATGAATTCAAGGGCCTTTTAAGACTTTTTAAGGATCTGCAGGAACCCCATTTTAAAGTAAAAATTTGCAGAATATGATTTAAAATGTGACAACAGAATTGTCATTTAAATATATGATAAGTAGTGTTTTCATTAATAAAATAAAACCCCATAAAATAGGTATTAAATGGGTTTATTTTTAGCTTCAATAAGCAAAAATGTTCTTAAAACATCATTTTCCAACATTTCCTCTGTCACCAATATTAAATCCATAAGAGAAGAAGGGTTTGTGTGTTGAAAAGAACTTACTCTCTCCAGTGTAAAGGTACGGACCACATACTCAGCAAGAGGTTCGACCTCCACAAAGGTCACCTTGAAGTCTCCGTACACCTCGGCATCATCTGGCCAGTACTTATAACACTTCACCTGGACACAAACAAACAGGACGACATCACAGAGCATTCAGAACAACATGAACCAAGCTGCATCTTTAAACACAACAGCTTAAACAAAAAAAAAAGCTACTCCTCGGAGAGCAGCTGAACTGGACCAAAAAACAAGAGAAGAAAAAGAGCAACTTACCCTTCCAACCTCCACCAGATTAGTTACCATGACAATGCAGGCGGACTGCTCCTGCCACACCATCCTCCAGAAATCATACACCGTCTCATGAACAGGACCTGATCAGCAGGGTTTTTATCAGAACATGGAATAACGACGTCTAAGAAGCACGTTTGAACATGTTTGACACATTCCTGCAGTCTCTTACCCTGGGTAGCGATGTAGTGGCTTGGTCTCTGGTAACCCTAAAAACACAACACAAGCGTCAGTATGCAGTGAAAAAAATGTTTTTCTTTCCACCAAGTCATTTATTTACATGGCTGTAAATGTACAATTCTTAACATTTTTGTTTAACCTCTTAAACTCCAAGGGTTTTTTTTATGTATTTGCTCAAAATCCCATGCTGAAATGTAACTGAGTGTATCTCAGCGTTTACAAACTCTACTTAAATAAACTTGGTATCAAAATAAAGCAACACTTGGGGGATTTCATCAGAAGTGTAAGTATTAAAACAGCTGCTGTGGTTTTAGAGATAGAGGATGGAACATTATTTTTTTAAACATTTTTTTGCTCCCGTCTGAATCATTTTTTCATTAGACATTACTCTATATAACCTATTTAAAACCATAATGAATCAGGCTAAAAATTTTGGAAACCATAAACCCACTTGTGGACATCACCTGTGCAAAGATTCATGCTGCTAAAATTAACTGGAGCAAAGTTAGAGAAGTTTTAGTAAAGAAATAATTTAGTGTTTTGTCATTCTGCACAGGAAAAACCATGATGGTTCCATTGATAAATGTTAACAAATCTGAAGTTTTTACATCCAAAAGTTATTTTTTTCTTACCTGCCTTAGAAGACTTGTTATTGAATGTTTGCTCTTTTGAAAAAATTTCCAAACATTTATTTCTCACCATATATATTATATAAAATAATGAGAAATTATATTTCACTTCAGTTGGATCATATTCACTCAAAAAAAAAAAAACTTTCAACACACTTTACAACATATTTTGGTATCTGCTTTGACTTACTTTAAAAACAAATGGCAAAAATCTTTCCTTTACAGTTTTGCAACAATCCCATTTTGTACAGTTTGTTTACTTTCTGATTCAACTGCTTGTCGTTGGAACTGTGTTTGGTGTAAATATAGTTTCCATGAGCTTTTAGCCAAGATTCTTAGCTTTATATTGATACCAAACATGTCCAGGTTCAACGTACAGATCTTAAATTAACAGAATGTGTTTGTTGGATTTAGTTTGCTTGTACTGCTAACATTTCTATCTTTAAAGTTTAAAAAGCTGATCATTTCCTGGTAATATAACATTAGAGCTTGATGTCATCATGTGATTTTAAAGCCTTGTCTACAGATAAGACAACTACTAATACAGTATGATAAAAATAGGAGCTATGCATCAACAGGTTTACAGCACACAATAAGATAAAAAAGGCAGGTGGAGTCTTTCATGCAGCCGAGGCCCCAACAACTCAAAAACGTGCATCCATCACTCGATGCACATGAGGGCAGTTTGCATGATCATGTAGGTGGGCTGGTGCAAAGGTTGAGGGGCATGATGTAAAAAAAAAATAAATAAATCCACAGTGATACTTACATCCCTGTACAGCCATATCTACAGCCCAAGCCACAGGCAGAAAGAACAAGTGGAAGAAAGAAAGAAAAAAGAAAGAAAGCACAACACTGTCAGTGAGTGTCAATCAGAACAAAAAAAAAAAGGAAAAAAAAAGAAAAGAAAAGCTGCATTGATGTAATGGAAGACAAACTAAAACATGCAGAAATAAAAGTGATCTAAAAGTTACAGTTAGACTGATCAGAAAGGACACTTCCAGGTGGGAGTTGTGACTTTCTGCATCGTTAAACTCCTGTTTGGTTTCGGAGTTACAAGTGTCCCATCTCTTCAGTCTATTTGAGCTGGAGCGTGCATGTTAACACACAAACACGTGCAGTAAGCAGATAAACATCACAAACATGAGGTGAGAGACTGACGTGCAGACGTTTGAGGTGAGGACACAGAAGTGGAAGAAGATGAATGAATGAATGAATGAACCGTGCTACAGAACGAGAAGCGTGGAAATAAATTGTAAACATGACCCATCATATCGAAATGAGGATTAAGTCAAATTTGGTCAAAATGACCTGATTACATTTTCAGATTATTGGCTTTAAAAGCTACATTTTGANTCCAATGGGAGCAATGATCGTCACACCCGTGGCTTTGTTTACAAGTTTATAGTTCATTTGCAAAAAAGCACAATGTGAATGCAAACCGCACCAAACGAAAAATAAAATAAAGTCCATTTTTGGTCCGGACCAAACAATTGTACCAAAGGACTTTCCTGGTCTGAATACACCCTTAGAGCCAACTGTATGTCAACGTTGTGATGTCTAATTAGGCCACGCCCCCCAAAATTGGACTTCATTCCCTTAATTGGATGGATTAGGATCAACCATAGCAAATTGCTTGCTGATTGGCTGAAATATGTGACCCATCATATCGAAATGAGAATTAAGTCAAATTTGGTCAAAATGACCTAGTTACATTTTCAGATTCTTGGCTTTAAAAGCTACATTTTGATACCTGGATCATTCTGATATCATAATTAGATCCATATATATGACTTAATTTGTCTTATTGGTTACAATAATACAGTCAAATTTGGTCAAAATGACCTAGTTACATTTTCAGATTCTTGGCTTTAAAAGCTACATTTTGATACCTGGATTATTCTGATATCATAATTAGATCCATATATATGACTTAATTTGTCTTGTTGGTTACAATAATACATAAATATTTGGTCTGAATCCTAATTTATGTCATTTTAATGAGGAATTTTTATGTCCTTATAAAGAGGAAACCTCAAAATATTTGAATATTGAGATTTTCCAGCTGAAAATAAACAAAACTTTGCTAGCTCGCAGGGAAAATCTCAAAATTTTAGGGCGTTTTTCCTCAAAATCATTTTGTTTTTGTTGTAACTGCTCAAAAAAGTGCTTCAAAATTTTGTTTTATGATTATATTTCAGGCAGTTCATTCAAATGATACATTGATAAGGCTTTTATTCATTATATTTTGACAAAATGCAATTTTTGTTAACATTTTAGTCAAAATACTATATCTGCCTATTTCTCCTTATACCACTTTTGGACTTAATCCTCGTTTCGATGTGATGGCTCACAAATATGAGAGTGTTTAACAGCATGAAGATGTTTTCAAGAATACAAGGTTGCCAAAAGCTACATGTGCAAGCCAGCAGCAAATGGTGTAGTTTTTAATATCAAATTAAGTTTATCTAATATTTCGGAAAACATCAAAAAAAATTGTCTAAAACCACTCATTTACTCTGTGTGATGCACAGAATACTATTTAAATGAATATTAAAATAAAACAAGCTGAATGGACTGATGGAGAGAGCTGGAAACCACCAGCACACTGATGGAAGACACACATGGAAGGTTTGATGTGTTCTGGATGGACAGGATGGTTTGATGGGTTTGACTCAATAAAGGTATATAGGCCTGACATACGAGCGAGGGAGTGTGGTTTCGTTGGTTTCGTTGGGAGCCAATAGTACCATTCGATGTGTTTCCACTTACATCGATGTAGTTGGCGTTGATGTAGTCGGAGGAGGGGTCGTCTTCTATGGGCTGCAGTATAACCCGTGAATGATCATCTAAAGAAAGACAACGGAATCAGAATTAGAGGAATAAAAGGTAGTTTTAGATTTAATGGGTCTTAATCAGAAAACAAAGATTACATAGTCGCACAACCAACTGTTTATGTCTGAAGTAGACTTCCATACTTACACGCTATAATGTTCCCATAGCGGTTCTTCGTACGATTCTGCTCTTTCTTTGCCACATCCCAGGATGCTGACTGGCCCTCAAAGAAGCTCTGTATCATCAGCAACAGAATAATCCCACACAGAGACAGATTACAAACCCCAGATCTTTTAAAACATGATTAACTAGCTTACAGGAACACAACAAAGCACTACGGTGGATTATTAGTTTTGATGTTTATGATTGAACACTAAAACATCAAAATGTATTTAATATTTGGATTGTGTAATCATTGGGACAGTTTAAGAGGTCATTTTATTTAAATGTGAAGCAAGAACATTAATCATAGAATAGTAATTTAATAATAAATCGAAAATAAACATAGTAAGGTTTTAATTAGGTCAATAAAATCTACATCTCTATTGCAACACTTATTAATAACGTGCAGCAAAGATGCTGTGCTGTACAGTAACATTATTACTTCATATTCCTCCTTGAAGCCGTAGCTGTCCGATGTTTTCATCAGGTTGATGTGCTGCAGCAGGTCGGCCACACGGATGGCAGGGTGCAGCTGTCCCGTCTGGTAGGGGGACTCCGTCCCCTCGCAGTGATAACGAGGAACATCCAGGAGTCTGCTGTTCTCTGCTGCTGAGCCGCTGTGGTTCTCGTCTTTAAGAAGAGAAAAACATTGACGGAAATCAGCAACTTTCTGTTCAAATTTGTTGCTCTTTTAGTTTCTCCATTCTGAAGAAAGTGTGAAGTTTAAAGGAGACGTATCGTGCTTTTAAACCCTTCAGTTGGGGGTCTTTATAAAGTGGAACTGCAATGCAATGAATTCCTCCTTATTGTAACTCCACAAGCCCCTCTTTCGGCACGCTTCAACTCATTTTGAGGCTGCCTCTTTAAATCTAAACGAGGCGCTTCACACCCCGCCCCCTTCCAGCTTACTGTTTGATAGAGGGGTTTACGATTATATAGCAGTGCTGAAATGTTTTTATTTACAAATTAATTAAAAGATGTGAACAAGGGAAGACTTGTCCATCCAGCCTTACATGTTGGAGCCAGAGTCTGACCCAGAACCAGAGTATGACCCAGAACCAGAGAAGAATGAAGACCTTAATATTGTGACATAATAGTTCAGAAAATATTACAGATAAAACTGATCAGTTTGAAACATATGATCCAAACAGAATATAAAGATGTCTGCGCAGCACCGGCAGGAAGTACAGCTAAAGTACCCAAAAGTATCAAATAAAAAGAAAATTGTTGCCAGATATTTCTCTTTCTTCAAACAAACAAGTGAAACACTGGACAGCTGGTGTTCTTACTCACCTGTGATTGGAACTACATGTTAGTGCAGCGTTAAAAGAAAAGAGCGACAAGGTTCAGACAGATTTCAGATACAACTTCTTTATCAATTTCTTAATATGTGAACAAACAAAACTGGTCTTTTGTGACTTCAGAGGTTTAAACACGATGAATGAGACTGAAAATGATGCATGACCAAAAAAAGGATTAAAAAAGCAACATTAATCTGGGTCAGAGCGACGTAAAACACTAAAGAACAGGAGAGAAGCGTTTACCTGTAGCGCCATCTATTGGAACTATACAGCATAAACCAAATGTTTTATTATTTAAACTAAAAAGCAAAACAAGGTTTAACAAATTATTTCTAAATATATCAACATTATGATTGTCCATAAATACTGCAACTAAGAAACAAGCAATAATCTAATATTCATATTATTTTAATAAAATGTTTTGGGTTTTAATATCTATCATTTATTTATGATATGTTATATGTTTCCCTGGTCATTGCAGAGTTAAAGAGGAAAACAATAGTGTGGTTTTACGGAGTAGCGAGTGATTTCATCTCCACTGTTTATTAACTGACACTTGTGATTTCATCCAACACATGATTTCCCTGCTCTGAGGACATGTTAGCTCATTACGGATTGTTTAAGGGTTGTTAAGCCCACGTCAAGCCGATTAACAGTAAACTTGACCTGACAGCGCGTCTTGATGTACTACTTCCTGCTACTTTTTACTCCTCTGTGACGTGATTGGCCAGGACAGATTGAAACTGCAGCCTTCACTCCACATTAGAGGCCACGGAATGGTTCATTTACACCATTCGGTGGTTGTGGAGCCCCTAAGGTTGCGATAAAACTCCACATCGGTGTCGTCGACACACTTAACGAAACATGTGGCGGTACGAAGCAACACCCGTGTTTGCGAAAGCTACATCGATTTTTATTATGTAGAGTCTTAGCCAGGGGAATCTGCAACAAAACGAGCCTGGGGGTTAACACAGATTAAAGCTACTTGAGCGGACTTCTTAATCTTCAGAGCAGAAAACTTTCAGATTCTGGACCAACGCAGGGGCACAGGCACCAAGTTGTCACAGATTTAATGTTGAATGTTTCTTAATATATTCCACTTTGGCATTTAAGAGTCTATTCCACTTGAAACTGAAAGTTTAGTAATAATTAGTAATAATTTACAGTGGTGTAGCACTCCTTTTCTTTTTCAGAAAAGAGCTGTAAGAATTATAACCAGAAAACTTTATAGTCACCCAACAAATATATCGTTTTGTCAGTTGGTCATTGAAATTTCATGAGTTGGTAGATTATAATATTTTGCAAGTCATGTAATAAGGCTCATAAAAACATATTACCTGTAAATATCCAGTCACGTTTTGTTAAAAGTGAGAGCTGTTATAATCTTAAGGGGATTGAGATGTTTGTGAAGCTGAAATTTCGAACCAGTTTGAAGGAACGATGTACGTCAATTCAGGGAATAAGATTACTGAATAATCTGGAAAGTGCTGTTAAAAATGCCAGATCAATGTTTCTGTTTAAGAGATTAAAATTGATTTATTGAAGAAATATGAAAAAGAATAATATGTACTCATATAATTTGTTCGAGGAGGGTTATTATTTTTATTACTTAACGATAAATTTGTTTATTTTATCTTTTATTAAAAGGTACAGATATTGTAGGATTTTTTTCTTCTTTCTGCTGCCTTGCTTTTTATTTTGATATTGTATTTATTGTATGTAAAATTTGTTTTTTTTCTTTTTAATAGGAAATTATTATTCATGTTTATTGTAAATTGAAGAAAATTTTCTTTGAATTTGTTTGTGAAAAATGGGCAGAGATTATAAGATTCTTTCTTCTTCTGCTACCTTTCGTTTAATTTAATTTATGATTTGTGTTTTTGTTTTATGTTGAATTTATGTTGTTTTTAAATGAATAAACTTTAAGCTAAAAAAAAATGAGCAGTGGTTGTCTGCAAAAATCTTCAGTAATTCAATTCGGCTACATAAATTTGTAAAACATCCAGTGCTTCGCTTTCGGAGACGGTAGAGACTGCGTCAAACTTTTATTGTCACTCAGAAAGGAAGCACAAAGAAAAGTAAGTTGTAAATGATGTTAGCAAAGTTAGCTAATGCTAGCAATTTGCTCATGTACCAAAAATGTTTACCCGGCCCTCACATTGAGATTTAGTCAACATTAGCTATACATATTAAGTTAGTTACCTGTGTACAGTGTGTACTGTATGTTTTATTGTATTTTTATTTTTTGGTCTTGGTCCTGACCCGGGCTCAGCCTCCCTCAGTCTTGGTCTCAATGTGGTCCAGCCCCTATTAGTTTTAGTTTGACTTGGTCTTGTATTCGGTAGTCTTGACTACAATACTAGTTATTTAGTACTTTATGCTCTTTGTCTGCTACATAAATATTAATATTAAATGTTCAAGTACATCACAAACAATATAAAATGTAATAAATATTAAAACTAAGTCCAACAACACCTGTTAGGGACGTTTTTTTAATTTGTTTTTCTAATCTACTTAACAACGTAGAGGGAAGACAACAAGCACGGGGGTCAGCAGGATGACAGGTGACTAAAGGGTGGTAAATGGGAGATCATCAGTAACACCACACGTCTCACCTAACACCGCAGTGGGAACCAGAGGATCGTTGGGCACTGGAGAAGAAAACAATGTGGAAATAATTCTAAAGTTAAGATTTTTAAACATTCACGAGGGCAAAACAATTCCTCTGCTTTCCCATGTGGAATCTATATGTAAATATATGTTTCCACTTTTGTTTGGTCACTCAGAAAAGGCTGTGAAAATCTTTCAGTTACTACTAACAGATCTTTAAATCATCTTAATACAAGTAATACGTTATTATCTTTTACACAATACAATTTAAACAGAAAGTGAAAGACAACAGCTGCTTTTCTTGTCCTAAATTGCTACCTTTAGAGCATATAAATATATAAAAAAACTGAAAAAGAAAAAAATGATATATATTTTGAGTTGTATTTGATTTTGTGAACATACATCTGTTGTTGTAGTTGTGAGAGTCCATGAATGTCACAGCCATGGGGTCTTCTCCGTGCAGAGTGCTCTGGTCAGCGTAGCTGCGGTCCATCGCGTTCACCATATGAGTCATTTCCTGTCGGGTTGTTCCGATGGCGTCTTTTCGTTTTTTGGCCAGCTTCCTGTTACGAGCACAGGACCACACAGTCAGACAACTTAAAGGCCGATAAAAAAAAAACTTACAACAAGCCGGCAGACCTCAGTCTTAAAAAAAGGTCTAATTTTTTTTAAGTATTTATTAGGTTTTTGTTTTTTTGACTGGGGGCTGCTGACTCCTGAGTACTATAGTGGAGAAATGTGAAAAGAAGACAGAAGAGCAAAGCTAGGAAGGAAAGAGGGCAGAGCAAGCAAGGAAAGTAGGCAAGAAAATAGGTGTATAAGGACAGAGTGTCGAATGCAAACCAAGGAAAAAGGTTTGAACCAACAAGAAACAAGAACCCGACATCAACCCTGGTGCAACAGAGCTGTCAAATGAAAAGGTTTCAACCATGCTCCTTTTTTTTCTGAAACTCTGATGTTATTGATTTATTTTTTTCAATAACACTGCAGTGAACAAAGATGAAGCCACAACTTCAATCAGCTGAAAACAATTTATAAACTATTTAGTTTTCATCTGACAGCAGAGACCAATAAACCCCAGAGAAACACCACCTGGACAGCAGGAGCCTATAAAAACTATTAACCTTAAAAAAATGACATTATTATTTATCAGGACTGCATAATGAGAAACCGTGCTTCTGTTTAGAAATCCTTTTGAGATATTAGATATGTATATTTGTATAAAGCTAGATTTATTTTTTGTCTGTATTATGAGACGATGCCTGGTGAACACAACAATCAGATAAACTTCAAGTGTTTCAGCTCGGATTAATCAAACTTCAGGGGGATAATAACTGTACAGACTTCATATGTTGAGTGTGACGGAGCATGCAGGAGCACTGTTCACCTACAGCCGTGTGTGCATCAGGTACAACACCAGCAAACGATTCATTATGTGACCAGATAATGAAAGTGCAACAAATTAAATGCTACAGTTCTGGAATAAGACTGTTTTATTTTATCATATTAAATTATTTCAATGTTGTCAAACTGATGCAATCTACAGCTCTCGTTTCTTCCCAGTAAGTCAATAAGACATGCGGGTTGGTACATATTTTATCTCTTTACACCAAGTTAACCTTTTAAGATCAAACAGCAGAAACAAACATTTAAACTGTGGCAAGGTGTGTTTGTTTCTGAGACTTACATATTTTCTTCATTTGCAACAGAAATATTCAAATACAAGAGAGAAGAATGTTTATCTTATACTGCATAAAAGATAAGATCTGACCTAAAATTTTTATTTTTGTTGTGATGCATCAAAAACCTGACAATTCTACTTTTTCTGAGCAATACGTTAAAGTATTAGAAAGAAAACAGCATTAATGGTTGATCATTTTAGTTAGATACACTCATCAAGATCATATTTTTATATTAGATTTCAAAATAAAATAACTCGATAATGGCTTTTGTAGTTGGTGAAATAATTAAAATTGATAGGGAAAAGTTAGGTTTCCATTTTAATTTGAAATTCTTGAAAAGTGAAAGGTCTTGTGCTTTTAGGTGCAGCTCAGAGTAATTTTAAATTAATTATGCAATTTATGTTTTTATTATCATTGTTTGTTAAATTGCAATTGCTGTTAATATTAT